AGGGCCTCGGCCGTCTTGTCTGTACGGTGCAGAGTTGGTGCATTAACCCCGAGCTCATCCAGCTCTGAGCTCTGATCCTAAGGCTGATTTCTTCTCTGGCTCTGCCCTGACCTGCCACGTGGCGCTGCCCCCCTTGGCAGCCTCCACCTCCCCTCTGTACACAGGGAGGGACTGGGAACGATGCTCTGCCATTCTTTTCCGCTGACCTTGACCCAGCACTGAGAGGTGCTACCCCGAAGCTAACTATCCCTGCCTCAGCCCATCGTGGGAAGCTCTCTGTCCCCCAGAGTCAAAGCCTGCCATGCTGTGGGGCAGGGTTGAGGCATGGGCTTCCTCCTCCCCAGGGCTTGGCGGGCATCCCGGTCTCCGTCTTCTACAGCTGGCCACATCAGAAGCACTTTGACCACTATGTCCGCTTCTGTTTTGTGAAGGTAAAGGACGGGGTTGGTGGGGAGAGAGGGCCTCCTCAAGCTCCCCGTGGCCCACTGGTGGTATGGGGAGAGGGGTAGGACCGATCTGTGTTGGTGCAGGATGAGTCCACGCTCCAGGCCCTGGACGAGAAGCTGCAGAAATGGAAGGATGAACTCAGGCCCTGACGCCGCCTGCTCGTCCCGGCCCCACCTGGTTCCTGAATGTTCTTTGCCAGGGTGTCAGCCCTTCCCAGGTTCGACGTAGATTGAGCTGGGGGTCCCCTTCTCTGCGACACAGGATGTCCCCAGGGAAGAGCCCTCCTTCTTGATCTTGGTGGATTCAGGAGCACTTCCCACAGTACCTATATTCCTGTCATAGTGGTGAGGTGCACCTGACCTGGGCCTGTTCCTGCTCCTCCCTAGATTGGGTCATAGAGTCTTGGGTCCCCTCTGTACTCTCCCCAGACTTGTCTGGGACTCAAGGGACAGAGTCCAGCAGCGTACTGGCCTTGAGTCCCGGCCCTGCTCTGGCCCCGGCCCTGCACTGGCCCCAGCCTAGGCTCTGGCATCGCACCCTTTCTTTCTCTCCTTAGATAACCTCGGGAAGTGGTCTTTAGGCTTGAGTCCTCAAGCCAGTACTTTTCACCCATAATAAAGCTTGAACTTATTTAGACCCTTATTGGCTGCCTCTCTTTGCTTCACACGGTGGTGCTGATCGCTGATGGGGCCTGGGGCGAAACGGAAGACACCTCAGTGAAACTTAGATCCCAGCCCCTCTTTGTACAAATGTGTTTTGTGGAGTAAAACAGAGGCCCAGAGCAGGGCAGGGACTGGGGACTTGTGCTGAACCCGGGGCTCAGAAGGGGTGTGGCTGTGGCACGTTGGGCATGTGTTAGGAGGTGGGGGCCTCCGTTGAGTGTCTGACAGGGAGACACGAACAGTCTCCTGTCTCACAGGGGTCAGAGTGCAGGCCAGGAGGGCCAGGGAGTTTATACAGAAGGGGAAGGAAGTAGCGCATTTAATTGTGCACCCCCATGTGTCAGGGGCCTAGATGCCCACCATCTCATTAAACAAGCCCCTGAGACGGGAGTTACTATCTGCATTGTACAAGTGAGGAAGCCACTTTGGATGTGATGTGACTTGCCGAAAGCCATCTGGCTGGCAAAGGCAGAAGCAGCTTTGTTCCCAGGGGTGGGCGTCTCAATAGAAAGCAACAGTAACTCCTGAATTCATTTGGAAGGTGGTGCTGGGGACTTGAAGTCGCCTTACATTGCAGGCCCATGTGTTTGCTCATTTGATCCATTTAATTGGGGGAGCTGATGGGAACATATGATATATTAAAATGTATTTAGTGTATGTCCCTGGTTCCCAGCACAGAGCTCCTAAAACCCTTGGAATTCCCTGAGAGAGAGGACTGTCTTCTGTTTTTGTTCTTTTTTTCCTTTTTAAAGATTTTATTTATTTATTTGAGAGAGTGAGAGATGAACAGGGGGTAGGGAGAGGGAGAGACAGGCTCCCCGTGGAGCAGGGAGCCAGATTCCGGACTCGATCCCGGGACCCTGGGATCATGAGCTGAGCCAAAGGCAGACGCTTAACCGACTGAGCCACCCAGGTGCCCCTAGGACTGTCCTTTGTGTTCATAATAAGCCCCTTTGACTATGTCATTAGAGGCTCGGAGCTTTCAGTCCCAACCCCAGGCCCTGATGGAGGGGAAAGGGACCAAACACTGAGTTCAGTCACTTCCCTTGGCCAGTGATTCAAGCAATTGTACATATGGAATAAAACCCCACCTAAAAAAACCCTGAATCAATGAGGCTCAAGGAGATTCTGGGTTGGCAAACACATTGATGTGCTGGGAGGGTGGTGCATTAGGAGAGGGCACGGAAGCTCTGCACCTTCCACCCCCAAAACCTTATTCTGTGAACCTCTTCCATTTGGCTGTTCCTGCGTTGTATCCTTTATAACGAAAATGTAAGTACAGCACCTTCCTGAGTGCTGTGAATCATTTCATGGAATTATTGAACTCCAGGGGAACGCTGGAAATGCCCCAATTTGTCATCACCCAGGCAGAAGTGTGGGTAGCCTAGAGACCCCACTTGCTGCTGGCATTTGAAATGGGGGAGCGGTCCAGTGGGACTGAGCCCTTAACCTATAGGATCTGCACCAACTCTCAGTACTTACGGTCAGAATCGAATTGAAGTGTAGGACACCCACCTGGTGTCAGAGATTTGCTGTTGGAAGGCATTTTGTGCTATGGCATAGTACTCCTCCCTCCCTCCCCTTCCAAACCAGGACTCGGTACTTACTCCCACAGTTCCAAAGTCAAGACTGTGAAACAAAATACCAGCTCAGAGGCTCAGGCTTGGAGCCCCTTCGCTATACTACACATAGCCTGATGGCAAGAAAGTCCCTGGTAGGGTAAACCCAAAGATTTCATGGATAGAACCACCCCAACCAGAGGTTCCATGTCTCATGAACCAGTCTAAAATCTGCCCATAACTCAAATCCGTGACTCGACAGAAGTTCCAGATTTTAGACTACTTGAGTAACCTCAGCCAGCCTAAGAAGGCAGATTTGCCTGAGATGCGTAAATGATTTGCCTTCTCATTCAGATACTGGAGGGAGAGGCTGGGGAAATAAACACAACCTTGGAATGTTAACAAATATACTGAATTAAAAATTAATCTCGGGCGCCTGGGTGGCTCAGATGGTTAAGCATCTGCCTTCGGCTCAGGTCATGATCCCGGGGTCCTGGGATAGAGTCCCGCATCGGGCTCCCTGCTCCTTGGGAGCCTGCTTCTCTCTCTCTCTCCCTCTGTCTCTCATGAATAAATAAATAAAATATAAAAAAAAGAATTAAAAAAAATTAATGTCTCCTCGGGGCACCTGGCTGGCTTAGGTGGTAGAGCATGTAGCTCTTGATCTTGGGGTTGAGTTCGAGCCCCATGTTAGACCTAGAGCTTACTTAAAAAATAGAAAAATGAAAAGAATTTTGTAAATTAAAGGGTTAAAAAAAAAATCAGTCTCTCCTCTGTTTGGTTGTTAGCTCCAGATCAGCATCTGCTTTTGCTTACCATTGTGTCCCTGTTCCTGCCTTGGGAACAAGGTGTACCTGCCTCGGGAACAAGGCGTACCTGCCTCAAAATAGACCCTGTTCGATAACTATTTCTTGATTGAATAAATATTGACTCAAATTTATTTATTATTTTTATTACTTACTATTTATTTTTTTTAAAGATTTCATTTATGTATTATGTATGAGAGAGAGAGAGAGAGAAAGAGCGAGCGCAGGTGTGAACACAAGCCAGGGGGAGGGGCAGAGGGAGAAGCAGACTCCCCGCCGAGCAGGGAGCCCGACCTGGGAACCTGGGATCCCAAGACCTTGAGATCATGACCTGAGCCAAAGGAAGACCCTTACCCGACTAAGCCACCCAGGCACCCCTCAAATTCATTAGCATAAAAAAGAATGCTTAGTTCATTCATGGCTGGCAGGAGTGCAAATGGTCTAGTCACTTTGGAAGATAGCTTGGCAGTTTTTTACAAAGGTAATCATGGTCTTAACTGCCCAATCCAGCAATCAGGTTCCCAGCTATTTACCCAAGTGAGTTGAAAATTCTTGTCCACACAAAAACCTGTACATGAGTGTTTATTGCAGCTTTATTCATAACTGGAAGCAATCAGATATCCTTCACAAGGTGAATGGATAAACAAACTTTGGCATATCCATGCAATGGAATAGGGTTGTGAATTCAGCCCCGCCTTGGGTGTAGAGCTTATTTTAACATAAACAATTAAAAATAAATTAAAAAGCTACATACTTTGATTCCGACTATATGACATTCTGGAAAACTATAGAGATAGTAAAAAAGATTAGTGCTTGCCAGGGGCTTGGAAGAGGGTAGGTGGAACACAGGGTTTTTAGGGCAGTGGACTTATTTTGTACCATACTATGATGGTAGATACATGACATGATGTCTTTGCCAAAACCTGTAGAATGTACAACACAGAGTGAACCCTAATGTAAACTATGGACTTTAGTTAATAATACTGTATTAATATTGGTTCATCAACCAATATGTTGATGTTGAGAGTGGGGGAAAATGAGTGGGGGAGAAAGGTTATATGGGAACTGTGTACAATGTGCTCAATTTTTGGTAAATCTGCTCTAAAAAATAAAGTCTGTTAATTGAAAGAGAGAGTAAATGAATGCATCCATAAAAGAACTGAATTAAATTCTAAGATCATTTCCAGCTCTGAATCACACTCCAGCTCTGGGCCTCAAGGTCCCCATGTAGAATAAAATCGAGCTGAGTTTTAAGCGTCGCGCTCCTGCGGAAACAGAGGGCGGCTCTCCTGTCGTCCAGAGATCCAGCACAGCACTGCACAAACTGCCCTCTGGACCCCCGAGGCCGGCGACAAGATCTGGCCCCCACGCGCTGCGCGGACTCGGCTCAATCCAGCGAGCGCGTCCCAGCCCATGCGCTCGCAAAGCCCCTAGACGCGTAGGCCACGCCCCCGCATGCCCTTGGTTCTCCGATTGGACGGCTCGGCGGGGGTGTGGCCGGAAGAGGTGAGTCTGATTGGCAGGGTGTGGCCGACGGTGTGCGGCGAACATGGCGGAGCGCGTGAAGAAGCGGCCCTGCGGCCCGGTAAGTGGCGGGAGGTGGAGCCCCGGGGCAGGACAGGGGGTGGGGGCGCGAGAACGAGCCGCGTGGGGGCCCGTGGCGGAGCTGGGCCGCGCTTCCCGCTCCCTGCTTGTCGCTGATCCGAGCCCGGAAGCCCCGAGGTGCCGCATGCTCGTGGCCGCGTGCGCCCCTGCGCAAGAGAACCGGGGGTGAGTGCCGGGGTCCTAGCCAGGGCCGGGACAGCGTCAGGTAACCCATTGCTGGAGCCCCTTGCGGCTACTCTGACCCGGGCGTGGATTCAGGAGGTGGGACCCTGGCTGTCCTCTCAAGCTCTTTCGTGGCGTATCTCGTCTGACTCCCAGGGCGACAGTAGGCAGATCCTCTCCCCCTGAGCTTCAGTTTCCTCTTCTGCCCTGTCAGATTCGATTCGACGACTTATTGAGTGCTTGCTATGTGTCAGACCCGGCCCCAGGCACTAGAGTGTAGCAGGTCTCTGCTCTCTGACGCTCTCCCAGCGGCAGCGGGGTGGGGGCATTCCGTGGTTTCCTCACCACCCCCATTTATAGGCAGGAAATGGGACCCCCTCCCAGTTGTGATCATTCAGCCTCACTCCTGTACCTCTTCCCATTCCTACTCTAGGGTGAACATGGCCAAAGGGTCGAGTGGCGAAAATGGAAGCAGCAGAGTAAGTAAGAGGCTGAGGGGGAGGGGATCTGCTCAGCCTTGCCCGAGGCCACTCCAGCAGTGCACTGCTGAACCTCGGGGAGAGCCTCCAGGTTTGTCCCTCTGGGTCCCCCAGCGCCCAAAATGGGAAAGACGGGGCCACAGGCTCCTCTGGCTGCTCAGTAAGCAGCACCGGAGAGGCCAGGCTGACCGTATTGGGAGGGCACCATCTCCTGGACTGCTCCATGGGCCTCTCCCTCCAAGTCCCTGTCCCCTCCACCAATCCACATGTCCTCTTCTCCAGAGAAAGAGGAGAAAAAGAAGTGGAAGGATCTCAAGCTGATGAAAAAACTGGAGCGGCAGCGGGCACAGGAAGAACAGGCAAAGCTCCAACAGGAAGAGGCAACTGCACAGAGGGAGGACCAGGGTGGGCAGACTGGGTCCTGGGCAGGGAAGAGAATGTCATATCTGGAAGGGACCTTAGAGACCAGTGGGTCCAGACATCTTGTCCTGAGGGAGAAACTGAGGTCCAGAGAATGGGAAAACCTGAGTCCTAACCTCCTACTTAGGTAGATTTCAATCCTTTGGAGCCTAAGCATCACATATCATAACTTTATACCTCCAGAACTCATCATCATAATGACAGTTTTGGGTTTTTTTTTTTTTACTTTTTTATTGAGCACTTTCTGTGCGCTTTAATCTAGTTGTTCATTTACTTATTTTGATTTTATTTATTTATTTATATTTTTATTTATATATTTTTTAAAAATTTTGATTTCTTTTCCCTTTTTCTTTTATAGATTTTATTTATTTGAGAGAGAGAGAATGAGAGAGAGAGAGCATATGAGAGGGGGGAGGGTCAGAGGGAGAAGCAGACTCCCCGCCAAGCAGGGAGCCCGATGCGGGACTCGATCCTGGGACTCCAGGATCATGACCTGAGCTGAAGGCAGTCGCCCAACCAACTGAGCCACCCAGGTGCCCCTTATTTATTTTTATTTCATTTTATTTTTTTTATTTTTTTTTATTTTAATTTTATTTTATTTATTCATTTTATTTTTTTAAGGAAGCTCTACACCCAACGTGGGGCTTACACCCAAAATAAGGCGCCCCTTATTTTGATTATAATAAGAATTTGTCTTTTTTTTTCTCATTAAATAATACCTGTTCAAAACAATCCCCTTCCCTAAAATACAGAAAACTGTAAAGAAGAAAAATCCCAGCAAACATTGCAGTGAAAGTTTCTCCAGATGTTATGTTACATCCACGTATACATATGTAGAGTATATACATCCACGTATACATATGTAGAGTATATAGGTACAGTTTTACAAAAGTGAAGTCACGTTATCCATTAGCTTCTGGACCTGGTTTTTCTCATTGCACATTGTGCCCTGTGTGTCCTTCCACATTAGTACATCTGGAGCTACCCTAACAGATTATATCTTTTCTCCTTGTCTAGACCCAAATGTCAGGAGGGTTAGGGTGTCATAACATGCCCTCTAAGCCTGTTGGTTACCAGTGATGATGTTGACAGTGGGGATAGAAACTGAGCATGTCAGCTGTTTCAGACACCAGGGAAGTCCTTCCTGGGTGGTCCCTCATGTGGCTCCCTTTGGGTGGCTCTGGGAGGGTGAATACGGTGGTCCCTCCGGAACTAGACAGCCTGAACCCATATGTCAGCTGTCTTGCCTTTTCTGTGACTTTGTGCCACATGTTTGATCTCTCTGGGTCACAGGGTCCCCACCTCTCGATGGGGATCCTATAGTAATACTTCTTAGGGTTATGGGGTGAATGCACACAGAAAAGGCCCTAATAATATTAGCTCTCTTTATTATCCCCATTTGACAGCTGGAGAACTGAGGCCATAGGGGGTGGAGCCAGCACATGAACATGGGCCAGTGCCTCTAACCACTCTCCAGGCTTGCCCAGTTGTGTGCCCTGTTCATGGGCGCCTTGGGGACCAGTAGGTCCATTTTCCTCCTGGGTAGATTGAGGCCTGGAAAGGGGAGTTGGATCTATTTTGCTGGCCTCAAAATTCCTCCCCGAGGAAAAGTTTTCTAACTCTGGGCCCTGGGATTAGAGGGAGAGAGGGGAAAGCTCGACCCTAGCCTCTTAGACTGCCCATGAACACCCCTCCCCTGCCCAGGTCGGCCCTACACCCTGAGTGTGGCCCTGCCAGGCTCCATCCTGGACAATGCCCAGTCACCGGAGCTCCGCACCTACCTGGCTGGCCAGATTGCCAGAGCCTGCACCATCTTCTGTGTGGATGAGATTGTGGTGTTCGACGAAGAAGGCCAAGATGCCAAGTGAGGGGCCATCCAGTAGGGCACCGGGGGGCTAAGTGAGGAGGGAGAGACCGCTAGGATTGACTTTGCTTCATCCTTGTCGCTGCCTACTTGCCGGGGCTGAGAACGCTGCCTGCAATCTCCCCCAGTGAATCTGGTGGGAAGAGTTGCAAAGCAGGGGCACTGCAGGGGTCAGTTTGGGTGGAGAAGCTCTCGAAGGGAGCACAGTAGGCTCTGGAAGCCCTATCTTTCTCTTTCCAGGACCGTGGAGGGAGAATTCAGGGGAGTCGGCAAGAAGGGGCAGGCATGCGTGCAGCTGGCCCGGATCCTGCAGTACCTGGAGTGTCCACAGTAAGGGGGTGAAGGGCAGACTTCCCTGAACGTGATGGGGAGGAGGAGGGTGGTTGAGGTGCAGGTCAGGCAGGGGGCAGCCTCCCCTGGGAACTTCCTGAGATCCACGGTCTTTACTAGGTACCTAAGAAAGGCGTTCTTCCCCAAGCATCAGGATCTCCAGTTTGCAGGTAAGGCTGCAGGGGGTGCTGACCCCATTTCTCATGGATCATCCCCCAGACCCTGAGAAATTGCTGCGCAGTTGAGAAAACAGGCCCAGGCAGGGCAAGGCCTCTGCCTGGTGGCAAACAGCAGGTCTGGGGCAGGCCTGGAATGCGCGGACCAGGCCTCCAAGGTTCCAGCCATACCACCGTGTGCCTTGGCATCTCCCAACCCACAGGGCTTCTGAACCCCTTGGACAGCCCTCACCACATGCGTCAGGATGAGGAGTCCGAGTTCAGAGAGGGCATCGTGGTGGACCGGCCCACCCGGCCAGGCCACGGGTCCTTTGTCAACTGTGGCATGAAGAAGGTAGGGACTGGGAGAGCGGGTTGGGACAGACATTCCGGACACATCCCGGCCATGGAGGGCAGGCAGGGTCCTGTGAGCAGGGAGCCCTGGACCCGGGCATCTGTGCCTGCAGTTCCCCTACTGATGGATATTTGGGCCAGAGAAGTGTCCCCAAACAGGGCTCAGTAGATAAAGCCAGGAGCAAATACACTGTTTCTTAAAAAGTAAATGAACAGAGCACATTCTGCATGGAGCACTGGGTGTTATGAACAAACAATGAATCATGGAACACCACACCAAAACAAATTATGTAATATATGGTGATTAACATAACAATAAAAAATTAAAAGATTAAAAAAAAAAAAGTAAATGAACAGAGGTAGTCCTCACGCTCAGACCCAATCCACCCCAGCCAAAACCCTACAAAAACAAGTTCAGAATCCCTCTGGGGCAGCTCCAGCAGGACGCAGAGCCAACGCTGGGATTGGTGCATTCATCTGCTACCTGCTTACTCTCAGGGCTTCTGGATTCAGAGACAGAAACACTTCAAGGTGGAGGGTCCCCTCCCCTCAAAAAGAGCAGACCAGAAATGACGGGCTAACTGCAGACCAGGATGACCCAGACCCAGACCAAAGGAGAAGACAGGAGAGACCTCAGAAGGGAAAGAAAGTGCCCTATCCTGAATTCAGAGTTGGCACAAAACACAGACATCGGTTGTCACTCGTCGCAGCTCCCGTTGACCTCACGCCGGGCCCAGGGCTGTTGTCTATGGAGGGTTTGCTGTTTGACAGTGGAGGGAACCGAGGCTCGCAGAGATTAAGTAGCCTGCTCGAACCGCTGTAGCTAGGAAGTGGCATAGCCACATCTGTTCAAAACGTAGAAGACTGGGAGTTCATCCTGCGAAATACTTATTCCTGCCCTGTGCCAGGCCCAGAGCGTTCGTCTTTGCCCAATGTCTTATAGTTGTTTTGCAAGAATGGTCTCTCTTTTTTTTTTTAAGATTTATTTGAGAGAGAGAGAGAGCCTGCACATGCTTGCATGGGGAGCAGGGAGGGGCAGAGGGAGAAGGAGAGAGTCCTCAGGCGGACTCCCTGCTGGGTGTGGAGCCCAATGTGGGGCTTGATCCCAGGACCCCGGGATCTTGCCGTGAGCCGAAATCCAGAGTCGGCTGCTTAACCGACTGAACCACCCAGTCACCCGACAAATGGTTTCTTGAGAGCAGGTCTGGCCCGGGTGCCAGAGAAAGGGGGCAGAGGTTGAGCTGGACCCCTCAGGTACCTTGTGAGCTGCTCAGAGCTCACCTCCCCCAGCATCTGGGAGAACAGTGACACCTGCTGGCCCTCTGGGGAACAGCACCCATTTCTCCTGGCTTCTCCCCAGGAGGTGAAGATTGACAAGAACTTGGAGCCTGGACTTCGTGTGACAGTACAGCTGAACCAGAAGCAGCTCCCAGGTATCTGGAAACTTCCCAGCCTGGCCCAGCCAGAGGGCTTGGAGCCACCTCCTGCCACCTCCTGCCCCTCGCCTCATCTTCACAGCCTCCCTGCTTCCTCTGCAGAAAGCAAGACCTACCGGGGAAGAGTCGTGTCATCACAGGACCCTCGCACCAAAGCCGGTCTCTACTGGGGCTACACGGTCCGGCTGGCCTCCTGCCTCAGTAAGGACAGAGCTTCCTCCTCTGAAGAGCTGACCCCTCTCTGGGAGGCCACAGAGAGCCTTGCTTGACCCAGAAGGCAGACCAGGGTCCTTGTCCTGCCACCTTACTGTGTGTCCGTAAGCAAATGCCTTTCCTTCTCTGGGACGTGGTCTCCCTGGCTGCGCTGCTTGGAACACTGGAAAGGACTTCTGAGGAAAAGGATCGTGCTTCATTAGTAACGTCTGCCGTGGGGTTGGGAATAGCACAAAAGGACCAGATGGATCTAGGGTGCACTGTGAATTCTCAGAGCTCCTTCCTACCCACCTTCAGCTTTACGCCCCCAGTCTAGCACAGGTGTGGTTTCTCCCTGCTGAGTCCCGGACCTCCCAGGACGGCGGATGTGTGTGGCTGGGTGTGACTCCCTTCCCTGAGGCCCCTTTTCCAGCCCTTCTCCCCACCCCACCCCCATGTGCAGACACACAGAGCCGAGTGGCTCTGGCATCGGAACAGGACCCCCAGGGAACCGGTCTCTCCCCCAGGTGCTGTGTTTGCTGAGGCCCCCTTCCAGGACGGGTATGACCTGACCATTGGGACATCAGAGAGAGGCTCGAATGTGACCTCCGCCCAGCTGCCCAGCTTCAGGTGGGTACAGCCTGGGGCAGGGGCCGGGGAAGGGGAAATGGAGCCGGAAACCTGTTTGGTGGGGGCGGAGCTGTACAGACTGGGCCCCTAACTGTGTCCCGGGAGTGGGGGGCTGAGAGCTCTGGGGAGCTGCATTCAGTGTGGCCTTAGTGAGCAGGGACTGATCCTCTCCTGTGGGTGCCAGGCATGCTCTCGTGGTGTTCGGGGGCCTCCAGGGGCTGGAAGCTGGGGTGGATGCTGACCCCAACCTAGAGGTGGCTGAACCCAGTGTCCTGTTCGATCTGTACGTCAACACCTGCCCTAGCCAGGGCAGCCGCACCATCCGCACCGAGGTGAGCCTGCTTTCCTCCCGCCTCCAGCCCCCAGGCTGTTCTCAAGGTTCTACCGCCAGCCAGGGGTCTGTCCGAGCGGGGGTGCAGCTCTGCCCAAGGCTGTCTCGAGCCAGCCTTCTCTGGAGATGGTTTCCTGACGGCCTCGGCCTCTTACCACCGCGAATTCCAGCAGGGACAGAGTAGGAGTGAGCTGGGAGTCAAGAATCCTGGGTGCTGGTGCCCATCCAGCTGCTCCCAGGGTGGGTAACTCAGGAGACCCCGGCCATCCCAGCTCCGGGCCTCAGTTTCCCCAGCCGTACGCTCAGGGTTCCGCTTCCTCACACGTGACCGTGGTGGGCAGGGCAGCCCTCCCCACTGGGCTTCAGTGGCACCTCAGTCCTGGGGGGTGCAGTACGCAGCCAGCTCTGGGAGCCTCAGTCCTGTGCCCCCATGGAACCGGTGGACCCGCTTCTGAAGTCCACACACGAGGCACTTGGCGTCCAGTAGTCTTAAAGGGTGGTGACTACATGGGGGGGGGCAGCTCCAGTCTGTCCCTGAGGGCCCTCCAGGGGCCACACCCTCCCAGCAGGAAGCCCTGCACCCACCCTGTCCTGGGAGCTAAGAACGCCCCTCAAGGAGCAGAGAGGCAAGGCCCTTCCCCGGCAGGGCATGCAGGCAGCCCGTGGCACATCTGCAGGATGGGGCTGAGCCTGTTCTTAACGTCCTTGGGGCCCTGAGGAGGGCAGCAAGCCCCTGGGGGGGGGGGGTCCCGGGAGGTCAAGCCCTGCGAGGCTGGGAGCCAGGCGCCCGCCAGCCTCCCAGGCCCCAGCCCACGGCGCACTTCCCTCCAGGAGGCCATCCTCATCTCCCTGGCCGCCCTGCAGCCTGGCCTCACCCAGGCGGGTGCCCGGCCCAGCTGAAGGTTCCAGCAGGCCGAAGACCGCGAAGCAGCAGCAGGGAAGCCAGAGGCTCCTGAGGGGCCCCTGGGACAGACACAGCCAGGACTTTTGTCTCCAAAGATCACCACCTTTAATGCGACCCAGCCCCCACAGTCCGGCAGGGTACGGCCTTCACTTGCAGCCTGCAGTGATGGCCTTGAGGCTGCCTGCCCGCGCCAGAATATTTGGCACAAAGAGCAGCCCCGAGGCCCGCTCGATGCTCTCGATGGGCACCAGGAAGCGCTCCAGCGGGACCGCCTCGTCCACAGGAGCGTTGGGCATCACATAGGAGCGGAGTTCGATTTGCCCGCCTGCTGCCTCCAGGATCAGCACCTTGAAGAAGTGGGTGGGCACCGCCACGTGGTTCTTGCCGATGACCTGGTACTTCACATAGGACTTGCCGTCAGCCTCCGTCCTGCGGGCAGACCCGGGCACACGAGGCCTTTCAGAGTTCCCGAGGGGTCTGCTCGGACCCGAGGCTGCACCTCTGAGAAGCCTTCCCCGGCCTGACTTCCACCTTGTGTCAGCCTGTAGAACTGCCCCCTTAGCAGGAGGCTTCTGTGCCCTTCTCAGCTCCCCCAGGAGGCTGGGGGCTCCCCGCAGGGTAGACACTCCCTTACCCTGTTTCCCTCAGGCCCAGCACTGGGTCAGGCAGGGTGGGTGGTGGCAATAAATGCAGCTGAGAGAATCCGGCCTTGTGGGCATTCACCTTCATTATTGCAGACCCGAGACTACTGCCTACCTCCCCCGTGGCGGGTGAGCACCAAGTGGGCGAGGGCCTGGGGCCCAGAACACGGGATGGAGGACTTCGGTCTTCCTCGGCGGGGCCTACTCCATTCCAGCAGGCCATAGGAAGCACCTGCTAATCATCCGTGCCTCCTTGGCCAGCCCATGCTGAGCGCTTACTATAGCGACCTCCACCACCCACATTTCACCCCGAAGCAACTGCGAGGTAGGGAATGGCTATTATCCCCACTTTACAGGAGAGGATATTGAGGTCACTTGCCCATGACACCCAGAGACCAGGTGATAGGGCCTGGGTTCCATCTGAGGCCCGTGGACTCCAGAGCCAGTGGCTTCCCCACAACCCTTTGCCTCCCCCATCTGTCTTCACTGGGCTGGAAAATTCACTGAGCATGCCCAGGGGAGCTCAGTCCCTTCTACCTGGGAGGCAGGGCTGCAGAGGGACAAGAGTGAAGGCTCAGGATCGGGGAGATGGAGGTCAAACCCTGGCTCCAGAAGGGTGAGGAGGGTTGCTCCAAGCAGAGGAAACCGAAAGCAAGAGCCTGGTGCAAGGCTTTCTATCTGGACAGAAAGGGAGTCGGGCACATGGCAAGAGGTGAGGGGAGAGAGGAACAGAGGCAGGTTTGGGGCCTGATGCCGGCGCAGAAGAGACAGTCTTGTGGGTACCCCCACAGGCCTCTAGCTATAGAAATGCAGTTGGGGGGGTCTGAAGCAGAGAACGGACCATCTTATCAAGAAACTAGATGATGTGACTTGGCACTGCGTGCGCACCCAGAGGCTGAGGCAGGCCTGGATGGTGAGTGGCAGGAGGGGGCCTCTAGTGAATGGGAGGCCCTGGCAGCCCCAGCTGTCCCCCCCCCCCCCCCCCCCCCCCCCGTTCTAGCCTTACCTGGGCAGGAAGAGCGGCCCTGTGCAAACGTACACATTTTGGTGGGTGCGAGCCAAGCTGCGGCTGTACTTCTCCAGGTCATTCCAGGCATTCTGGTTGAGATGGGGCACCTGGTTGGAGAGGGGGGGCTCAGACAGACAGACAGATGGACAGGAACTGGCACCAAGCCAGGATAGTCCGATGGGGAGTGGGCTGGGCAAGCACGCTGAGGTAACGGGTTCAAGGAAGGAGAGCCGTCTTTAGGCCACCTGGCCGTGAGGGTGGAGCCAGACAGAGCGGTGCTAGCCTGCCCCCATCTAGAATGGGAGGACTGACATCCCAGGTCCCAAAACCGCTTCTCGGCTCCAAAGAGACAGACTAAGGAAAGGGGCACTTCTCCCTCTCCGGAGAGAGAAACAAGCCCCCCCCCCCCACCCCCATCCCCGGGGCCTCATGGGAAGGCCAACTCTCCAGCCCTACCCTCTCCTTCCTGAACCGCGTGCAGAGCCCAGCTGGAAGTCATGGATCTGCTCTTGACTCCCGGCTCTTGAGCTCTCCAGTGTCTAGTCAAATAGGCACGGAACTGAGACGCTGGAAGAGCAAAATCAGATGGGAGGTTCAGACCCCCTGGGCTTCACCCAGAGCCCCAGGTCAAGTCTCCAGGCCCTGCTTGAAGAGGGCTTGAAATAGAGCACACAGAGTTACTTTCCTCTGACTCCTGGGAGGCAGGCAGGGTAGGGACAGTGGCTGAAAGCCCAGGGTCCTCTAGACAGACTGCCTGGGTCACCTGCTGTGTGACAACTGGCCACTTTGCCTCTCTGGGCCTCAGTCCCCTCATTACAGCTAATATGCGCTGAATGCATGCCATGGGCCAGGAAGAGTGCTCAGTACTCTCGTGTGCACTGTCTTCGCTGCGAGGAAACTGAAGCTCAGGGAGGTGCCCAGAGGCCCACAATCAAGGTCGGACTGCAGAGCGGGTGCTGGGTGGCTCCGTGCTCGGTGCCTCCCGCCAGGGGCGCGCGGGGTGAGCAGCCAGGCGCCTGACCCGGAGCGCGGGCGCTACCTGGGGCGCGACGTTACTCAGGTAGAAGGTGTCCTCCATGGCCTTCTGGCTCCAGCGGTGGTTGGCGGCGGCGGCGAGGTGGCCGCGGTCGAAGCCGCTGCCGCGGTAGTCGGCGTTGGTGGCGCGGTGGTACGCGTGCACGGAGTCGTCCTCGCGGAAGTCGCACGAGCGGCGGTCGCCGTCGCCGCGGAGCCGCTCGGGCCGCAGCTGCTCGATCACCCAGAGCGCGCCGCGGGTGCGCGGGTCGTAGCACAGCACGTACGACTCGCGGCTCTTGAGCTGCGCCAACCCCGGCAGCCCGTACTTGGCCAGCTCGCCGGCGCCCGCCGGGGCCCCGGGCTTCGCGGGCACGGCGGGCAGTTCGGCCGCCGCGGCCACGGGCAACACGGGCAACCGGCCCAGCAGCCCCGGCGCCACCCGCGCGTCCTCCCGCCGCCGCCACCAGCTTTCGGCCGCCGCGCCCAGCCCCGCGCCCAGCGCCAGGGTCAGGCTGACCCGCAGCGCCTGCATGGCGGGGAGAGCGGCCCGAGAGCAGGTGGAGCGCGGCCCGCGGCGCCCGGGGAACACCGCGACCTCCGGCTGCCGACCCGCGAGGCTCTTAAAGGGGCCGCGCCGGTCTGCGGGGCCCACCGCAGGGGAGGAGGCCAGATAGGGGCGCGAGACGGTGGGATGCCCGTCGCTTCCACTCAAGGACGCTTCGAAGAACTGGGGAACCCCCACAGAAGGGGTCACGACTGGCGCCGAGGGGACGTCCCGGCGCCCTTTCTTTGCCCTTTTAAGACGCGCACCCGGGAGGGCGCGGGACGGGCCGGCCCTGGTTCGTAACTGGATGCCGCCGCCCGGCTCCGCCCCGCGCCCTCATTGGACTGCACGGGGACCCTCCGCGCCGCGGGTAGGAGCTCCTACTTAGGACTTACGAGCGCCGAGAAGTGTCAGGCACTCATCTAAAGCGCTTCCACTGCCTGACTTAATCTTCAAAAGAGCCCCGAGAGGAAGTTCCTAGTTGGCTGGACAAAGAAGGACAAGACCCCAGGTCTGCCTGACACCAAAATCTACCCTTCTAACCATTACACCTAAGTCGAAATTTGTAGGACGTTGGTAAATATTTTAACACCGGGCAAGAGGACAGGGATGCAGGCGGCTGATGCTAATGGCTCGTTGGGACAGAAACTGGCACGATTCTAGAAGGCAGTTTGGCAGTATACATTGTATTAAAGGTTCATGGGGCGCCTGGGTGGCTCAGGTCGTGATCCCAGGGTCCTGGGATCGAGCCCCGCATCGGGGCTCCCTGCTCCGCGGGAAGCCTGCTTCTCCCTCTCCCACTCCCCCTGCTTGTGTTCCCTCTCTTGCTGTGTCTCTCTCTGTCAAATAAATAAATAAAATCATTTAATTAAAAAAAAAGGTTCATACCTTTCAACCTACTTAGAGGACTGAGCTGGGGAAATGAATCGGAAATGCAAGGATTTTAAACACGAAAGCTTCCCCATGGTATTACTTGTAACAGAGGCTGAAATAAGCAAACTATTCCAAGATAGGGGCTGGATTCAAGACATTTTTAGCATATGAGAATACTATATAGCCCGTAAATATATTTTTAACATCATACAGCAACTTGCTTACCACCTAACCTGAGGGGGGAGACAGTACACAAAAGTGTATCAAGAAAATGACAACGATGTAGCGAAGACTTAACATATTCTCAGTGATTTTCTCTAGACTGTGGGTAGTATGGATTTTATTTGGAAGTTTTGTCAATCTCAAAAATAACTTGCTGTGTAATCAAGTGGCATAGTACCTCCTTCCCTAGCCCACTGGCCCTTGGCCTCCAGCTGCAAATCGCTGTGGTTGAACGAGAAGACTTGAATGGACTCTTCCAACAAGAATTTCCCAGCCTTTTTCTTTGCCCACTCTGAGTCTCCTGACTCCACCCCTGCTCAGGCTTTTCCTTCTCTGAGGTCTCAAAGGTTTCAGCCCATCACAGCACCAATGCCCATTGCAAAGAACACATGATTTATTAAAGACAACTTGTCATCAACAGCATTGATTCAAGGAATAAAACTGATGAAAAGAACAAAAGCAGACTCACATTCTGACCCCAGAGTGAGACCTGCTGAGTTCATATAGCCCAATCTCTAAGTGTCCAAAGTCCTGGAGGCAGCTTCCCAATGGGGAAGCCTCAGGCACTCTGGCTCTCAGGGCACCTCTCTGGAGAGTCTGGGAAGGGGGAATCACCAAGGGCCTGCCCTTTCCCCAGGCAGTATCCCACTGGGGAGTGCAGCCTAATCTGCACACGGTCCCTGTGCTCTTGACCCTCGTCCCCCTCGTCCCAAAGTCAAGGAGAGAGCACTGGACCTAAGCCTACCACTGAGGCGAATCAGACGCAGTGATTCAAGTAGTATGGCCCCAGGAGGGAAGGCAGGGGGGACAGGCAAGAGGGAATGCATCAGGTGTCCTGGGCAGAGTCTGCTGGGGCCCAGGCTGGGGCCCAAGCCTCAGGCTGTGAAGGGGTCAAAGTTGGGAATGAACCACCAGCTGACAAGTTCTGGGAAGAGGCCGAGCCAGGCTGTTGGGAAGTGTGTCTCTGCGCCATGCTGGGGTCTTGTGGTCCAGAGACGACACCAGCCCTCTCAACAGCAGCCCTCCCCCCATCCCTTACCCTCAATTCCAGGACGGAGCTCACAGCCCTCCCAGCCAGGAACTGCTGGAAAGTCAGGAAGGTGCCAGAGGCAGGGGGAGAGGGTGCGGACTCTGACCTTGCAAAGTCAGGAAGACTGTCTCCAACTGCTTTTTGCCCTCCTGGCCCCACCCTTCACCTCCAAGTCAAGCATTAGCCAGTCTGCAATAAATAACCAGGGGTCTGAATAAAGAGTAAACAATCTCCCAAATACTGTGTGTTGGGAGACGAGGAGGCAAAAAGGCATGTGCATAACATCCCAGCAGCATCCAAGGTACAGCCTGGGATAGGAGCCACTGGCGGACAGCCCTTCCTGGCCCGAGGTCCTGGGTGCCTGACTCG